CACCACGATTCTGAATGGAAGTCGAATGCGTGGGCCCATCCCTCAGACGGGATTGCTTAACGCTCAAAGATTTTATCCTTTTATGTCTAAATATTCTGATCATTTCTTTCTCACTGCAGCCCTTCTGTTCAATCTAGTTCGTGTAGATTTCCGCCAAGTGCCGAACTCTGCTCTCATTTTGCCAGCATTACTTTCAAACAGCTCATACCCATACTCATTAGAAGAACAACACAGGACCAACCTCATCTGCTTCGGATGCTGAGAGATGTTTTGACGATTTCGCTTTACCCTTCCCAGATCGTTTCTTCTTATGTTCCTGGATAAAATAAGCAATATGCAGGAGAAGAGAAGTAAAAAAAAATAAAATAAGCAATATGCAGGAGAAGAGAAGTAAAAAAAAATGCTGCTGTCATGAAAAAAAAACTTCATTTTTCGTTGTTTTTGTTGTTGAGTAAGAATAAGTCGATCCTTTCCAATCATTTCTCTCGTGTTTTCCAACTTATCTCAAGTATCTGAACGTTAAATAACTTGTGGAAGGCGCAGACGTAAGATATGGCAGATTCGCGCGCGTACACGCGCGTGCGTTCTTGTTCATTCCAATTTAGCTTCATGGCTTAACTAGCGGCATTCTGCTGGTTAGTGCTGGATGGATGGGACACTTCCCGGATTTAGTTCCTCACGAATGTGAGGACAAATTTCTCAATTTTCGCTGCGTGAGAATATAGCTTATTGGATTACTCTGCTTCGGGAGGAAAGGAGTGAAAACCGTACCCAAAGCTAACCCAAGTTTTCTATTGGGAGAATGTAACATAGCGTACAAATCACTTTAATAACGGCAACGCTTATTTTTGGTGCCTCAGATGAGGGGATTGTCTTCATCCGCATCTTACGATCTCTCAACACTGATCATAAGTGGGAGTCGGGCAGTTGAATCGGTTTTGCATGATCGATTTGCCGCACGCGGCAGTCGCCGACTAGTTGTCTCGCTATTGCAGTTCACCCGTTCTTCATACAGCTCAATAGAAATGCGATTATTATTTTTGGCATGATTCTAATGGTAGTTCTTTTGTTCCAGTATTTCTTAATTGCGGCGCTGCTTGTGCTTCATTCTGCTACATTCATCCGTGCGCGACGTCGCTTCGCCGCGAAGCGACCAATTCGATTCAACTGCACCACATCCGTTGTAAGTGGCTACACAGGGTTTCTTCATCAGTGAAAACTACCCCAGGAAAATGAGTGTAACTCAGCGCTCAAACAAGTAATGATTCTGTTAGTTGAAAAATTTCGAATTATGTTCAGATCAGGAAGCTGTTGAATGGAACTGACAAAATACATCTCATAGATGCAGTAATAAGATTTCTCCTGTAGAAAGTGGAACCAGAAATTTTGTAAGTGAATTCTGTCGCCCATACATTAGCCATATTCATAGCTAAATTCCCCTGATGTATATCAACATAACAAACCTCTCCCTCAGCATGTTTCTTCTTTTTCTTTTTCTCCTTTTGGGGAGGAAATTTGAGATTCTCATGTCTCTGAAATTAAATTAAGATCCTTAACATGCCATATTACTTGATTACTAAAGTAACCATGGAACTTTCATAGGTTTTTCTAATCATAATTGAAAATCTGTACTCAATATGCCTTCAGTACATGCCCTGTGTTACCGTATGAAGAGTCTCTTGAGTGGAACAGGAATTTGTCATTATAGTTGATCGAAAATAGGGGAAAGGTTCCAACTCACACCCATAGCGTTCGGATCCATAAGAATATCAAAATATGTTGGAAATTGCTTCTGACGTTCAAACTCGCCCTGGAACTTATTACTCAGGGAAAGCAGGTAAGTTAGTAATGACATGACCTACCTCAAAGAAAAAGCGTTCAATCCGACAATAGTTTCTAATCGCAACAGCCGATTTTGGTTGAACTGGTTCGCAGGGCACGAGGAAGCAACGGTCACCCCAATGGCCCACCACACCCAGGACCCGCTCCAGAGCTCGAAAGTACTTGTCTGCTTTGGTGTACTCGGCGAGGGATGACGACATCAATTCACAAATTCTAAATTTAAAACAATCTCAGATACGACTAACTAATCCATTGAATAAAAATGTTAGGCAAAGGGTGTGGGCGCGGTCGGAGAAGCAACGGTCAGGAGACATCCCTAAGGTCGCCGCGTACGGTGACCTCGTGGCACAGCAGAGACCTCAAGGGAACTCTTGTCCCAAACCCACCCACACCCATATGACCATAATAGTTGAATCCATGGCAAGGTAAACAGTAAACAGTTTTGCTCACCTTCTCCAAGTGAACGGAGGAGCTTTATCAAACTCATAAGCTTTTCTGAGAATGTAATCATGAGATCCCTTCAGTGGACTTCCAGCGCTCATATCAAGCTCTATTTTATCACGTTCACTTTGCCATTTGACCATGGCATGCATACAATCCTGAAAAAGAGCGATTTATTGGTGAGTAGACGGCTCCATTTTTCTGTTAGCCGGGTTTTCACACTACTAAAAACCCTGAAGCGCTTGATAGGTCTGCAGTGCTTTGTAATTTTCAACGACGCTTTAAGTAATAGCTAGTTTTCGTTTGAAGTTTTCAGTTATTTAGCTTCCACTGTTTCTATTGTTTTGGCAAAAATTTCACCTCAGTCTGACCTTGGGACCTTAGGTCTGAACAATTTCTAGGAATGTATTTTCTAATTGGAAAAAAGAAAGAAAAAGGTAAGGCTCACATCGAGTCGTTTGTAGAAGAAGTCACGTACAATGGTCCAGGGATACGGATTGAGACCCGTCACTGCAACTCCATAAAAGTAATCGATGGGCTGAGGAATCTGAAATGATTGGAACCGGCTTAGATTTATGGAATGAATCTTCAAAAAATGAGATAACTGAGAAGCGTAGACGGTCACTTGTAAAATTCCCAACATCATAGTGGTTCATTACAGAATATTCTATTGACTTACTGGCAAAATCGCCACTCTCATCTAGAATATTTTGAATTCCCGCCATACTATCAGAGTAAAGGGTCGTCGGAATACCTCAAGTTCGAAACCTTCCGCCACTGCTCAGCCCACACTTGGGGCAGTCTTATACCCGAACGACGTGCAGCGGTCGCCGCAACCGGCCGCGCGCAGTCGCGCGCCGTGAGGGGAATGGTTTGGATTCCCAGTGGGAGGTTACGGTAGTCGCCGCAAAACCACTGCCTCGCTGTGAGAATTTGTATTCAAAAACGTCAAAGAAATGTGGGTCTCTTGACCAGTAACAGAACTTTCTACTTTCTCATTGTGGTTTATCAACGGGTTTCTTTCAATGAAGAAATAGCTCGAACAGTCCGTCCTGCTGCTGGAAACTACTTACATCCAACTTCGGTCTAGTTAGAGTACGATACACTCCGATACAACATATGTGGTGTAGCTAACAGGAGTAGGGATGTAGTGCAGTGGCGAGCAGCACACTATCATGGTCCGGGTTGGAATCCCGGATCGATACTCGCCCAGGCCTACGGAGACTTCTATCCATCCAGGGCCCTTTGATTGGTACCAGGCTCGTTAGAAAATATACGAAATGTGCTGTTTTATACATCGCTGGTCACCGCAGGTCGCTGGATAGGCCACGCACGCAATCAGTACGCCACTGCGTTCCTGTTTGGAAGTCGGATGCAGGGCGCATCCCAAAAAAAGACTATAGACTTTTCCTTATCCTTTATCTACTGTATTGATTCGATGGAATTCACGTTCTCGAGGGGTTCTAGTGTAGCTACCCTATGCAAATAGCAGTTTTCAAGAGCAATCAAATGGAATAGGTGCAGGTGATCTGAATGTAGCCAAATCCGTGTTTTTCCGAACAGATTTAAAAATAATTCGCCAATCCGCTCGTATACGAGTTTACTTTGAAGGCTCACCTCTAGAACCTGTGGGATAACCAATTTCTGAGTTGCTAATAGATTTACTGGTAGTTTTCATCAGCGGTGGGAATCTTACTCTTGGCGAAGTAGGACTGATATTAGAAAACGGTGAATTTCAAACATAACTAACTTTTTGCAAGCTTAACTCAACTACAAGCTTACAAAGTGTTGAAAACTTTTCAGGAAAGGGCACATACCAAACTGGGTCCTGGTGGAGCCGGTTCATCCCGTGGAGCCGGTGAAGCCGCTGGAGCCTGTGGAGCCTGTGGAGCCTCTTGTTGATCGGTGTCAGCCATAGCGCGGTAGGAGATAATTCAAAGACGTACTGCAAAAGTAATCTACTAGTGAAATAAATCAAAAATAATAATAAAAGTAATGTAGTACTCACCAAAGCAGTTACAAAGAAGCACACGTTCAAAACCGACCGCTCGTGCAGCAATGTTCTTGAAAAAATGACCGAGTTAAGAAGTATGAAGCTACGTGGCAGTCGTTAACTTGTTAAGACCAGTTCATTTAAGTCAAAGCTCAGCAAAGGCTGGCTCAAAGGGTCTACTTGTTAGGACTTGGCTCTACTTCCACTTACTCATTTACTACTTATTGACTGATTGAGAGTGCAAACAGGTTGGAACATGAAAAGGAGAGAACGGCTCACTTTTGGCTGGTACACAACGATCGAATTTCCGTGAGCGAGAGAATACAAGCTGTACCCTTATTATGCCATTTCGTTCATAGTAAACTATAGTTAACGGTAATATTCGAAAGAGTTTTTTGGCTGCAAAGTAGTCCCTCTTTCCCTGAACAACTGCTATGAAAGGCACTTCTAGGGGCTACGGTAGGTCGACGATCTACGGTAGGACTACCCAGCCGCTGCCAGCTACGGTGTTGACTTTTCCTATTCCCCATTCCCACCTCGGGCTTTGAACTTCATGTGTTTTCGAGATCCAGCGTGAAATTAGGTGTGAAGGGTACCTCTCTATTACCTTTGCAACAGCTTCGAAGAGCTGGACCAAGCAGATTCGAATTTTGCGGAAGTTACCTCCAGGAGGAATGTCCCCCGTTTTCCATCCTCGTTGCACTTCAGTGGTTCATTTCCCTATTTTACCTTTTTTTATTCATAAGTGTAATCATTTCACCAAATTCAAAACATATTCTACAGAAAATTTATTATGAATTAACAAATTTACACAACAAGCATAACATCCCGTGGATTGCTATGATAACCCGCTAGGGCTCGATTCTCTTATACACCGAATAACAAACAAAACAAAACAATTGAGGTACCTAACAATCAACACAGAACTTTACAAACAAACACAAAACAAACAAACAAACAAAAGTGCCACAACAGCAAACATAACAACTACTCCTCCATAACAACATATGTAGCTCCAGCTCGTCATCACAGAAGCCAGCCATACTTGAGCTCTGATCTTATCATATGACCCTCCTCCACCTGCATGCCCTGAAACAGAATTTTTGGAATATAAAGCTTACCAGTGATAATATTGATCATTTTCAGTAGTAAGACCGCAAAGAGCACATGAGAACTGTATTGAAAATTGAAAAAAAGTTAAACCTTCTGTTTAATGACCTTGTAGACGAAGTCCTGCTTGAAATCCACAATGCATGCCCTTTTCACCTAAAAATAAAAGATGTTTGGGAACACAACTACTACCGATTTATATTGGAAAAGACACCTCAACTTCGTCCGCCATCATTTCGAGCTTCATCACGACATCACGTCGGCGCTTACGCGGATTCTAAGCAGGTGAAACTCAAGGTAACATCCATAGCCAGCGTCAAAAGTAAGGTAAAGTTAGCTTGAACGCCGTCTGGCGATTGTACAGACCCGGGAGGGTTGTAATTAAAATTCGGGTGTCTAACCAGAGCGGTGAAATAATTGGCTAGTTGTCAGGTCCGCTAGGAATCGATATAACAACAATGTTCACCCGCAACGAACTCTGATCCATGAATAGGGTCGTTTTTCTGGGACTGACCGTCGGTAGCTCTTTCTAACTTAGGTGCCCCTGAACAGGAGCCTCAAGGTAGGATGTGGGAGATGGGGCGGAGCACTTGAGGAGGGATACGAGCAGTCAGCCACTGGGAGTACTCGTTGCCGACGCTGAATGGCAGGCTGAGCGGAGAACGGGGTCCGCCCCCAAGCTGCCGCTTGCACTGCCGACCAACCTG